GAATGCAGAGTTGCCAGCATTGACCCCCACAGAGTCCTCCTGCAGTAAGGAGGGCCAGGTGGTGGGCCCAGCATCTGTGGGGCAAGAAGCAACGGCCACAGCTGGACTCTCAGCACAGAATATCTTCCCCAGGTGTGCCACATACACAAGCCTCCACTTGCCTCTGCTCTGCCTCATGGAAGTAGCGCATAATTACATACACGGAATTCATGCAAAAGAAGTACGTATCCCATACACAAATATGTGCAAACATCCACATGCACACATAGACACCCACATGTATAGAAAACACATACGCATTTACCTACGCCCCACCTCCATACAAAATCCAGAAATGTCCACCCACAGGCACAGGCATGTCCACCTGCAACCACACACAAAGCACAGTCAGCCCTGCTGAGCAAAGGATAAAGGAGGCTGGGAGCAAAGTGAAGAGCCTGGAGGGAATCACACCGAACAAGGAGCCACTGTTCTGCAAATGCAAACCAGAAGCCAGCCAAAAGGGACAATTTAGTGGTCCCCAAACTCGGTCCTTCTAATACCTTCCCTCACTTGTGACCTATTCCCCAGGGGCCAGTCCTGCTCAGGTGGGAAGGGGGTGGAGGGGAGAGAAAGAGAAGGAACAGGAGGAAAAGGAGAGATAACCCTAGCCAGGCAGAGCCCAGGAGAGAGTTCTGCACCATTAGGTCTGACTCTTTGCCTAGACTTGAATGTAACCTATGACCTTGGTCAAGCAATCTTTTCTGAGCCTCTCTTGGCTTATCTAAAAAATGTCCCTGCCTCCTAAAACTTTAGTTGGCTGGGAGCCACCTCTGATTCCCAGCCGGTGGGTGCAAAGGGGAAAGAAATGTTTTCTAAAAGGGCCAAGCCTGGAATGGTCTTAAGCCCCCATAGTTAGGTCAGAGGGCAGGGGAGGGAGGCCAGGTCTGGAGGGACAGCAAACAGCTCAGCACATTACCTCTTTTTCGGCCTTGGCCTCTTCCACCGTCACGGTGCTGTGGTTCTTGTGCTCCTGGAACATACAAAGGTAGCAGATGCAGGTCTGGTCGGTCTGGCAGAAGAGCTCCATGGTCTTGCCATGCAGGGGGCACTTGCGGGCCTCGAAATCCCGGATGGGCTCGAGCAGCTGGTGGTCGCGGAAGGCCGCGCCCTCCAGGTGGGGCTTGAGGTGCAGCTCGCAGAAGGAGGCCTGGCACACCAGGCAGGACTTGACGGCCTTCTGCTTGTTGCCGATGCAGGAATCGCACAGCACCTCCTCGGAGCCCGACTTGGAGCGCAGGAGGCTGCCGTCGGCCCGCGGGTAGCTGTTCCTGCGGACCTCCCCGGGCTCCACGATGGACACGGAGGGCTTCCGGGGCTCCGAGAAGATGGACTTCTTCTCCGAAAAGGTGACGGGCGGCTTCTTGGCGGCCCCCAGCTGGAGCCCCGCATAGGGCGACCTCCTGCCTTCCGCAGAGTCCATGCTGAAGTAGTTGGAACCCTTGTCATCCACCGACTCCACGAACTGAATGATGGGCCGCCGCCACTCGTTGCCGGAGAACAGGGCGCTCTTTCCCTCCCCCTTCAGGGCGCTGCCCAGGCTCTTGCCCTCGGCCACCTCCCCTCCGTGCCCATGCCCGTTGGCGGTCTTGGTCTCCTTGCCATCGACCTTGGGGCCGTTCTCCAGGCTGCCGTTGGGGCCCGTCGGGCTGCGGGCGTCCCTAGCTTCAGGGCTCGACCCATTGCTCCTGGAGGCATCTGCAGCTTCCATGGCAGATCACCAAGTGGTCTGTCTCGGGCTTGCTGGGGCTGTGGTGGGTGACCTCTCAGCGGGTGTCTCGGCAGGGAGTGGGGCAGGCAGCCGCGGGCCTGGGACACACCTGCCCGGAGGAGGAGCTGCAGACGGAGGGGAGGAGCGGCCCAGCCTGACACAACGGGCCAGGGAGAGGCGGTGGCTCCGCCAATTATTCAGGCCCACGCCCTGCACATTCATCCCTAACCTGGTTTTTTTAAAGAAGTGTGTGTGTGTGTGTGTTTTTTCTCCCCCAGTTTAATTATTTTTCACAACTCAGCAACCAGTTGGGCTGCTTCTATGTGACGCATTTGTTTCTCATCAGGGAAGCCGGGAGCCTCTATCCTCAGGTGGACAGGATTTTCTGAGCCCAGTGGCCCCTGGGGCAGAAGCCGAGGTGTCTGCAAGAGGACCACAGGACAGAGGGCTGTTAATTGGGTCACACAAGCCAAATAGCCTTGTAATTTGCGAAGCTGGATTTCATAGGAGACAGACTCCACCTGGGGAGAGTGGAGATGCTTCTCACCCTCCAGGGAGATATGGCTTCAATTTGATTTGGATTTTAGGATTTGGAGTGATGTGGCCACCTATTATTATCAACTTCCAGGCACTGTCCTAGGTCCTTTACATGTGAATTTATTTAAGCTTCACTTCAATCTATGCCTTTTTTTTTGGGGGGGGGGGTACCAGGGATTAAACTTAAGAGCATTAATCACTGGGCAAGATTCTCAGCCCTTTTTATTTTTCATTTTGAGACAGGGTCTTGCTAAGTTGTTTAGGGCCTTGCTGAGACTAGCCTCCAACTTGTGATTCTCCTTCCTCAGCCACCCAAGTTGCTGAAATTACAGCACTGGGAAAACAGACATGTGTCACCGTACCCACCTCTATCACGCCTTTTGAGTAGTTGAGAAAAATGAAGCTAAGCTAACTTATTGGTGTCAGTCAAGTGGCAGAGCTGGGATTGAACCAAAGACCTTTATGGTTCTCAAGTCCCTTCTTCAGCCTGGGTGCCATGAAGCCACCTAAATATCTCTCCACAAGATTGTTTCTGAAGTCTTTCTTATCCTGGTGGCCCTAACAAGATACATATGGACCTTAAGAATTTCACCAGAGCATGTCAGAACTTGCTTGCATCAAAAGGCCAGAGACACAGTAGACACAGTAATGGAGGGAATACAGGCAACACAAGCCAGGTGGCTTTGTCCTTGGGGCTAAAACACTTGAGTCTCACCTTTCTCCACAGTAAGTTTGTTGTGTGACTCAGAAAAATCTTCCCACCTTCCCCAGGCAAGCCACAAGTAAAGTCCTGCAAAATGAGGTCAGTGCAGTGTGGGATTCAGATAATTCTGGACTCTCCAGAAGAAAAGTGAGAGCTATTCCACTTCTTCCTCTCCCTGAACCCTACAAAAATCCTGGGACCCTCATCTCTCCTGGTCACTTTGTGGGAAGCCAGCACCCACCCCATCCACCCACCCACTCACCCCCTACCCCACGACATACACCCAATACAAGGCTATGCCTCTCTGGGCTGCGCTGATCAGGGTGGAGCAGACAGTGGGTGTGGCTGGAGTGGCAGGTTCAGGGCTGTTTGGAGGGGAGTGGGTTTCCCATCTTTCCTCTCGAATCTAGGTCAGGCTCCAGGAGCCCCTGCCCCTTGGCTCACCAGCCTTTGACAGCTAATCCTTTGCAACAACAGCCCTGGGAACAAGGGCAGAGACAAGGTTAGCTCACAAAGCAGCCAAGTTTTAAGAGGAGGTATGTGTAGGGGTGGCTAGTGCTGACTTCATGATAGGGATTCCCCTTTACCTGAGGCTCCTGTCCTCAGATTCCACAGGAGCCC